GTACCATCAGCCCTGCTGATGCCCCCTGCCCCGCTGGGCGCTGCACATGGAGCAGCCTGTGGCTGCTCTGGCTGTGCTGCGGAGCGGGAGCACAAGGATACGGAGCTGAGGGGAGCTGAGGTGACACCGGGCGGGTGCCCCCCCGTTCTGTTGGGCAGTGCCCTGCAGGGACAGTTAACGAGGGCCGCTGGTCCGAGCGGCGCCCGCGGGCCCCGATGTGCTCTCGCTTCACGGCACCGGGGATCTGCCTGCGCCTGGCTGAGCATCCCTGGCCATGTGCCGGCCAAGGAGCCGCGCTGCGCCGGGCCCTGCTGGGCTGGAGGTGCCGCTGGTGCTCGGTGGCACAGGCACCGGTGCCAAAGGGACCCATGCGAGGAGCAGGACGCGGCGTCGAGGGCAGCGCCTCGCCCCGCGCTGGGCACGGTGGCAGCAGCGGGGCCGGTGCCATGCGGGCTCGCCCGGGCTGGCTGCTGCAGGGCAGCCGTGCCTGCGTGTCTGGGGGGACGGGAGCTAATCCGTGTGGAATGCCCCGGCCGGGGGAGAGGGGACGCCCGCGCCGCCTGGGCGCAGGCAGCGTTGGGTTTCAGGGCAGCTGCCGTGCTGGAGCAGCGACAGGGACAGATGGTGGCAGGGCTGGCCCTGCCCCACCTTGGGGGTCTTGGCTGGACCCGGAGCTCTTGGCCGTGCCCAGAACCCTGCCCTGGCCACAGGTGCTGTTGTCTCTCTGGCCAGTGGGGCAGGGCAGATCCTGCCCAGGGCTCTGTGCCGGGCTGTGTGGGGTGGCAGGAGGCACCCACTGTCCCCTGCCAGTGCTCCCCACATGTCCAGGGCTCTCTGAGCTATTTCCATCTGCTCAGGGGATCAGCCTGGCCTTGATGCTTTCACGCCCTGTGGGCTGCACTTGGCTGTGCCACCACAGTGGTGCCAGGGTCACCCCTCCCAGCTGGTACACACGTAGTGACACTGCAGGTGGCATCCCAGGATCTGGCAGCTGGGGGCTGCCCAGCCCTGCTGCCTGTGGTTGCTCATCTGAGGCAGCCCTGGGGGGCAGAGCAGGGGACCCCCAGTCCCAGCCCCTCATCAGACCGGTGGCTGCCTTGCAGGGAGCAGCTCTGGGGACATGGGATGTGCAGGATCGGGGCCAGGGGATGGGCTGGCTTCCTGCAGCAGAAAATACCCGGAAAGTCTGCGGGGGGGCCGGGCTGCCTGTGTCCCACGGAGTCCAGGGTGGGGGAACCCTGCTGGCACAGCCCTGGCCTGGGGGGCTGCAGCAGCACCCCCGGCCCCTCTCTGGGAACCAGGGGACCTGGGGTGTGCCCGTGCTGTCAGTGCAGGGGGCTGGCAGTGCCTGTTTGGGTAGCCTGGGCTGACCCTGGCTTGGAGCACTCCAGCATGGGGTGGGTGAGGAGCTGTAGGGTGGGTGAGGAGCTGTGGTGAGGAGCCGTGGGGTGGGTGAGGAGCCGTGGGATGGGTGAGGAGCTGTGGTGAGGAGCTGTGGGGCGGGTGAGGAGCCGTGGTGAGGAGCTGTAGGGTGGGTGAGGAGCGGCGCCAGCTGTGTTTGCAGAGCCCACACTTTGCCCCTCGCTGAGGGTTGTGGAGAGCTCTGCAAACACGTCTGAGCTGCCGTGTGACATCAGCTGGTGGTGGCTGCTGCTCACTGGGGTTCTGCCATCCCCCCTGGAGCCAGGGGCTCACTCTGCAGTCCATAGGGCTGGAGCTGTGTGTCCTGGGGTGGGTCTGGCATCATTCTGGCCAGGAGTGACAGTGCTGCTGCTGCTGCATGGGGTTGGAGTTGGGATCCTGGCAAGTACTGAAGGGTTTGTTTGCAGAGGGCTGATAATGGGGGCTGGGGGAGTCACCACCACTGCTGTCACTGTGGACACTTCCGACACCAATTCTACAGAGGGCACGTGCCATGGCATTGCCAGGCGCTGGCACCGTCTCAGGCTGTGCTCAGCCTCCCTCGGGGTGCCCAGGGGTCATCCAGAACGGGGGACACCCCCCGGGCTGCCCCCGGGCCGGCCCCACGCGGGGAGGGGGCTCTGTCTGGCAGCCTGGTGTGCATTCCTGGGCCATGAGTTCACGGCTGCGGGTCCGTGGCGCGATGGGGGCCACGGGCTGTCACGGTGACGTCAGGCCACGGCCCGCGCCCATCCTGCTCCGCTGCGCCGCGGAAACACTCCAGGTCCTGATCCCCTCGGGGAGAGTGGCAGGGGAGTGTGTGGGTCCCTGTGCCCCTGGGGGGTCTCTGGCCCCGTGTCCCCCCAGGGCAGGGCCGGGCGGCAGCTGCCAGGGGATGAAGGGCAGCTTTGTGGTGGCAGTGCCTGGTGGAGCCCGGCTGTCCCTCTGTGCATTGTGCGCCCAGCGCCTGGCACCCGCTGCGGGTGCCCCCCAGGATTGGGGAAGCAGCAGCAGGGCTGAGGTGGGGTCCCACTGCCCTCCCCGGCCTTGCTCCTGAGGGCTGTGTTTGGGGGGACAGGGCTGTGTCCCCTGAGGGCTGTGTCTGGGGAAGATGGGCCTTCCACAGGCTTCCCCAAGTGAGTGACCTTGTGTTCTGCTCTGCTCCTCTTGCAGGGAAGCCACCATCCCCGATGGGAGACAGCATCCCCCCTCCCTCTGTGCCACCCCCTGTGCCTGGGGGTGCCCTGCAGGGAGAGCGCAGCTTCCCCCAGCACGAGCGACCCGGCCCTCCAGATGTCATCCCCTCGGAAAAGACCGTCCCACCCATCCCACCCGTCCCTGCAGCCGTCACTCCCTCTGAGAAGACCATCCCACCCGTCCCTGCTGCCATCACCCCCTCTGAGAAGACCGTCTTGCCCATCCCTGCAGCCGTGCCCCCCTCCCAGCAGCCCGTCTGCCCCCCGGCTGTGATGTCCCCCTCTGAGAGCAGCCCCCCGCAGCGTGCCCGACCCAGCCCTCCAGCCACTGCCCAGCCCTCCGTGCCACTGCCAGGACAGCCCGTGTCCCCCAGCCCTGCGACTGTGGTCCCCTCAGCACAGAGTGTTCCCCCCCGGGGTGACCATTCCCCCCCGGGACCCCCCAAGCCGCCTGGGATGGAGCACCCCAAAGAAGAGGCATTGTCCCAGCCCACTGGCCAGCCTGGCCCCGTCCACGCTGCTGCTCCCAGCTCTGTGGAAACTCTGCCCCACGGGAGCCAGCCCCCAGCCCCAGCTGCCACCCAAGGGCCCCCTCCTGATGCCAAGAGCTCCCTGGGTGCCACAGCCGGGCCCTCAAAGGACGTGAGCTCCCGGAGCAGCCGCCCCTCAGCGTCTCCTGCCGCCAGCCCCCGGCCCAAGCAAGGTGGGTGCCAGGAGGTGCTCCAGTGATGCTGCACCCTGAGGGCACCAATGGGTGCCTGGTGGGGCTGGGCACTGCCGTGACGGTGTTTCCCCTCTGCAGATGCCCAGAAAGCCCAGGCAAGGCACAAGCAGGCGAAGGAGCGGCGCGAGGAGCGGGCCAAGTACCTGGGTATGGGCTGGGAGGGAAAGTGGATGGAGGGGAGGCAGGGGCTAAGGAGCTTTGCTGGGTCATGGGCAATCCCATTAACTGGTGAGCTGAGCCTGGGTGCGAACTGCAGTGCTGGCAGCTCTGCCCACCAGGCACAGCACTGATTCCCTGGCACACTGCTGACCCCCGGGCACATTGCTGACCCTCCAGCACATCACTGACCCCCAGGCACATTTCTGACCCCCAGGCACACCGCTGATCCCCAGACACTCTGCTGACCCCCAGTAACACTGCTGACCCCCGGGCACATTTCTGACCCCCAGGCACCCTGCTGACCCCCAGGCACACTGCTGACCCCCAGGCACTCTGCTGACCCCCGGGCACACTGCTGACCCCCAGGCACATTTCTGACCCCCAGGCACATTGCTGACCCCCAGGCACACTGCTGACCCCCAGGCACATTTCTGACCCCCAGGCACACTGCTGACCCCCAGGCACACTGCTGACCCCCAGGCACATTTCTGACCCCCAGGCACACTGCTGACCCCCCAGCACACACTGTTGCTCCCTGCTTTGGATGCTCCCTGGGTCTGTGCAGGTGCCACCAGCCCTGGTACCAGCTCTGCCGTGTGCAGGCAGCCCACAGTGGCTCGGGGCAGCGGGCGAGCAGGGCCCCTGCGCCGAGCATGGGGCCTCCTTGTCCCCGCGCTCTTTCCACCCTCATTCCCCCATTGTTCACCGCGCGGCTCGGCGGGCTCCCGGCGGGCTCCCGGCCTTCCTTTTGTCCTGGCCCAAACCCCTCCCTCGCTGGCCGGCCGTGATGCTGCCTGCCCCGCGAGCCCGGCCGCGTGCCCCGGCCGCAGCCACCGGCATGGGCACGCGGTGCCACCACGGGGCTGCCCCGGGCCGTGCCTCCGGTGCGACCCCGCTGCCCCCCGCAGCTGCCAAGCGGGTGCTGTGGCTGGAGAAGGAGGAGAAGGCCCGGCTGCTGCGGGAGAAGCAGCTGGAGGAGCGGCGCAAGCGGCTGGAGGAGCAGCGGCTGCGGGCGGAGAAGCGCCGGGCGGTGCTGGAGGAGCGGCAGAGGCAGAAGCTGGAGAAGAATAAGGTGGGGATGGGGATGGGTATCACGGGTGCTGTGGGCAGGGGGCTGGGGTGGCACGTGGGATGCAATCCCTGAGGAGTTCACGTGGCTCCAGCAGCCCTTCAGGAGATGCTTCCTGAACTCTTTGGGAGTACCCATCCTCTGCTGCCCCTCCTTCCTGGTGCAGAGCCTGTGCTGTGCCCAGCTTCTCGGCACGTGTGCCTGGCCAGGGCAGGCATCACTGTCCTGTCTCCCTGCAAGCACCCCCATCGCTGTCATGGCCTCATGCTGGCTGGCTCAGCCCCGCTGCCTCGGCCTCTGGGCTCAGGCTGTCCCTCTCCCTCGGGCAGGAGCGCTATGAGGCAGCAATCCAGCGGTCGGTCAAGAAGACGTGGGCAGAGATCCGGCAGCAGCGGTGGTCCTGGGCTGGGGCCCTGCACCACGGCTCCCCCGCACACAAGGACGGTGAGTGCTGGCACCTGGGGACCCTGTGGCTCTGACAGCGGTGGGGGCAGCTGGGCATCTCTGCCAGCCCTCAAACCCAGCTCAGCCCCCCTTGGTGGGGCATGCTGCCATCTCTCTGGGCTGTGCAGGGGACTGATGGGGTCCCGTGGCTGTTCCCTGCTCCTGTGGGGCTGGTGTAAGGTGGAGGCTGTGTGTCACAGTCCCTGTTCCACTCAGAGACCTGCCTGGGGGCAGCCCTGGCTGCCGCAGCATGCCATGGCCACACTGCCAGGTCTCCAGCAGCTGTGAAGAGCCCCTGGCCCCAGGGGCTGTGGGGCTGCACGAGGCCTCTGCAGGCTCTGGTTGGGGTCTGTGCTGCGGCGTGTCCCCTTGTCCCCCAGCTGGGTGGGGGCAGTGCTTGGTCCCTCCAGATCCAGTATGGAGGTGACCGTGGCTGTATGTGTGGCTGCAGAAGCTGGTCCTGCTCCATGGGGGCTTCTTGGGGACGCTCTGCATGATTCAGCCCTTGGACATGTGGAGTCTCCACTGTCCCCTGACTGCTGTGCTGTGCTGGCAGGTGCCAGCACTGGCATGGATGGTGCATAGAGGAGAGCGCTGTGTCCATAGGAACTGTCTGGCCCTCACATGCCATGGGGCAGCTGTGGTGGCCCTGGCTGTACCTGGCCAGGCTGTGTACAGGTTTGTGGCTGTACCTGCCTGGGCTGTGTACAGGTGTTGTGTTCTTGGCTGTACCTGGCCAGGCTGTGTACAGGTTTGTGGCTGTACCTGGCCAGACTGTACAGGTTTGTGGCTGTACCTGGCCGGGCTGTGTACAGGTGTTATGTTCCTGGCTGTACCTGCCAGGCTGTGTACAGGTTCCTGGCTGTACCTGCCAGGCTGTGTACAGGTGTTGTGCTCCTGGCTGTACCTGCCAGGCTGTGTACAGGTGTTGTGTGTCAGGTTGTGTGCACTGGCACCGTGTGCCCAGTGCCGTGTGTGCTCAGGTGTTGCGTGCCTGGCTGTACCTGGCTGGGCTGGGCTGTGTGTGCAGCCTCCACATTCTGGGTACGCCTGTCTCAGTGCCGTGTGTGCCACTGTGGCTCGTGGCACACTCGGGGTGTCTCTGGTGCAGGGTCTGGCAAGGGGACACCTTCCCCTGCCATTCCCACGGGGATGTGCTGCTGGAGCTGCTGCCAGCTGTCTCTCTCCAATCTCTCGCCTCCACCAGCGCTGAGCTTCCCTGGCTGTTTGTCCAAAGGGGCCAGGCATGGTGGGGAGATCCCAGCTACCTGTGGAGGTGCTGCCAGCCACCAGCATTTTCCTGGCAGTGCCACAGTGACCCAGCACCGGTGTGGTGTTGTCTCATGTCTGTCTGGACCTGCTGCCCTCGCCCTGCTCCCCCAGGGTGGATGCTCTCCTGGTGCTGCCAAGGTCCCCGGCCACCTGCTCCTGATTCCCAGGACTGTGTTTGGGAAAATTGTTGTAGTGGGGCCTGGGAGCTGCCCTGGCTCTCTGAGGATGAGATTCCTGCATGACCCCAGCATGACCCTGCAGGGTTCAGACACTGCCATACTGAATGCCAGTGCTGTGTGTCGTGTCCCCAGACACCAGTATCTCCTCTGGCCCCGCTCTGTGCCGTGTCACTGGATTCCAGCATCTCCTGTCCCACTCTGTGCCGTGTCCCCAGACTCCAGCATCTCCTATCACAGTCTGTGTTGTGTCCGTGGATTCCAGCATCTCCTGCCCCACTCTGTACTGTGCCCCTGGATTCCAGCATCTCCTGCCCCACTCTGTACCGTGCCCCTGGATTCCAGCATCTCCTACCCCATTCTGTGCTGTGTCCCCCGACTCCAGCATCTCCCCTGGTCGTTCCACTTCTGCCCCCGTGCCCTGGCACAGCCGTGCATGCTGCATGTGGGGGGCCCGGCCCCGGCCCCGGGACCTTAATGCCCTTGTGTCTTTTCCCTCCTCCAGGTGCGAGCCGGTGCTCGGTGTCCGCTGTAAACCTCCCCAAACACGTCGACTCTATAATCAACAAGCGGCTCTCCAAATCCTCCGCCACCCTCTGGAACTCTCCCAGTAGAAGTAAGAGCCCTTTGCGTTTGCCCCAGCGCAGGGGGCACAGCCAGGCCCCCGCCCAGTGCTGGGGACCCCTGATGCCAGGGTGCCCCATCCCCAGGTGCCCGCGGAGAGAGGAGAAGCCGTTTGCTGTTTGGGGGAGGAGGCTGGAACCGGCCGGTGGCTCCTTGAGGCTCTGTGGGCTGGGAGGAGAAGGAAGAGGAGGAGGAGGAATGGCTGCATGGTGGCAGCCCCATGGGGCGCCAGCACAGGCATGGGAGCTTGGCTCCCTGCCCCAGGGCAGCTCTGGTGGGTGCTGGTGCAGCCACAGAGGGGCTGCCTGTCACCTGCCCTCCTGGGGCTGGGCACGGTGCCAGAGCCCCCACAGGCTGCTGGAGCTGGGTGCCACAGAGCTCTGTGGCCGTGGTGCTGCAAGGTCATCCTGGCCCTGGGAGCACTGCCCAGGGCTGCAGCCATGCCAGAGGGATGTGTCCAACAGAGGGATGTGTCCAGTGCCGGGGCTGCTGTTGTGTTTCGGGGTTGCCTGGTGATGGGCGCCTTCCCGGACGGGTATAAATAGCCAGAGCAGCTGACGCCGTGGCTGTGGTGACGCAGGCAGCTCCCACCGCCCTGTGCTGGGGCTCAGCCCAGGGACAGGCACCTGGGGGCTGTCAGCACTGCCCGGGTGGGAGCAGCGTCTCCCTGGGCCCGTGCCAGACCTGCCACCCTGTCCCCCTGCAGCGTCCGTGGCTCTGTGCTCTCCCCTCCCAGCAGCCGGTGCTGCCCCTGGCCAGATGCCCAGTGGAGAGGGGCAGAGGGGCCCTGTCTCCCTGGGTGGTTCCCATGCGCCGCAGGGTGTTTGGTGACATGTGCTGCAGGGCACCCAGTGGCAGCTTGGTGCCCAGCTGAGCCAGCTGTGTGGCCAGGCATTGCTATTCCATGGGTGCTGTAATCCTGGCCTGGCTCCTGGGGCACACTTGGTGATTTAGCACAGCTCCTGTGGGATGAGGGCACACTGTGGTGTCCCCTGGGCAGCTGGCATGTGCCAGGGCCTTGCTCACACAGAGCAGGGGCACAGAAGGGTGCCACTGCTGGGCACAAGGAGAGGGCAGAGTGGGTGGACTGCTGTCACCAGGGTGGCACCCGGCACCACTGGGTGACTGCGGTGTCCACAGGACACAAGGGCACCGTTGTCGTCACACCACAGCGCCGTCCACAGGCACCCAGCCACCCACCCATGGCATGGCCCCTCATCCTGCTCAGCTGTGTGGGGCCGTGGGGACCCCTCCCCAGCACAGCCAGGCTCTGGGCACTCCTGGAACTGTGCATGCGCCGTGCTATTGCTGCAGACACACGGCTGCTCCCTCCCGGCGGCGGCTGTGAGGGCAGGACTGGAGTCTGGAGGTTTGTGGCGCACTAATGGCCCCTCTCCCTCCCCAGACCGGAGCTTGCAGCTGAGCCCATGGGAGAGCAGCATCGTGGACCGGCTGATGACGCCCACCCTGTCCTTCCTGGCGCGCAGCCGGAGCGCCGTGACACTGGCTGGGAATGGCAAGGAGCAGGGTGAGCCCTTGGGTCAGGGACACGCGGGTCCTGGCACAGGCAGGGAACCAGGATGAGGGAGCCTGGAGTCAGTGGGCAGCTGGCGTTGGTGCCAGCTCCATCCTGACCCTGGTCACTCCTCCCCCAGTGCCCGTGTGCCCCCGCTCAGCCTCCGCCAGCCCCCTCAGCCCCTGCCACAACCACCGCCTGCCGCACCGCTGCTGGGAGCGCCGGAAGGCGGCTGCTGCCAGCCCTGATGTGACGCCGCGCCGCAGGACTGAGCCCTCGCCTGTGAGTGCCACCTCCCATGGGGACCCTGGGTGCCAGGGCAGCTGTGGGGCACGGTGTGGCTTCCAGCCAAGCCCAGCACCCAGCGCTGACGCCATCTCTGTCCTTGGAGCAGAAGAAGAAGGAGAAGAAGGAGAAGGATCGGGAGAACGCCAAGGAGCGCAGCGCCCTGTCCCGTGAGCGCAGCCTCAGGAAGCGGCAGTCACTGCCGGCGGCACAGCCCCGGCTCCTGCCCGCGGCTGACAGCAGGTCAGGACCCCCACCCCGAGGCTTCCCAGCCCCTGACCCCACCCGTGGGCTGCCCCAGCCCCACTAACACTGTCTCTTGCTCTGTTTGCAGCCCCGGCCCCAAGAACCGTCCCTCATCCCCTGCCGCCTCCAAGAACCGTCCTTCATCCCCTGCCACCCCCAAGAATCGTCCCTCATCCCCTGCCACCCCCAAGAACCGTCCCTCGTCCCCTGCCACCCCCAAGGCCCGCCCGGCGTCCCCCAGCCCGGCCCTCAGCTCTCCCCACAAGCCGCCCCTGTCTCGAAGCACCCATTCCTCCCCCAAGGTGCGGGCCAGGGCTCGGGAGGAGCGGGGGGAGCAGGAGGGCCAGGCAAAGGCACGGGAGAAGAAGGAGGAGGAGCGGGGTCCGGCACCCCCAGCCCTTCCCGAGCCCCCCAAGGTGCCTGCAGAGCCAACAGCAGGTGGGTACAGTGTCACCGCGGAAGCCGCAGGGCTGGGAGAAGCCAGAGCAGTCCTGACGCTGCCTCCCTTCCCCAGGCCCCCCAGTCCCTGCAGCCCCCGGCCCTGTGCCGGCCAGCCCCCCAGCCAGACCCCCCGCCGGCACCACGGACCGGGAGGAGGCTGCCCGGCTGCTGGCGGAGAAGCGACGCCAGGCCCGGGAGCAGCGGGAGCGCGAGGAGCGGGAGCGCCGGGAGCAGGAGGAGCAGGAGAGGTGGGTGTTGACCCCCTGGCCCCCAGCCCCGGCCCCCTGCCGTGCTAAGGGCCCCCTCCCCGCAGGCGGGTGCAGGAGGAGCGGGCGCAGCGGGCGGCCGAGGAGCAGAGCCGCAGGGAGGCCCTGGCACGGCAGCGGGAGGAGGAGCGGCGGCTGCAGGAGGAACGAGAGGCCCAGGAGAGAGCCCGGGCTGAGCGAGAGGAGGTGGAGCGGCTGCAGAGACAGGTTGGGGTGACAGAGCGTGGGGGAAAGGGGCTGCGGGAGGTGGGGGACAAGGGCAGGGATGGAGGAGCAAGGCAGGGATGATCTGTGATTCACTCTCCATGGGGTGAGAACCAGCCCAGCCCCTCAAGGCCCACGGTGGCAGGAGGGAACATGGGGCAGGGCTGTGCTGAGCTGTCCAGGCAGCACATCCCCACAGCTCCTGCCCCATCCCTTTCCCCCCTGCCCCATCTCATGCCTTCCTGGCCTGCTGTGGCACAGAAGGAAGAGGCCGAGGCCAGGGCGCGCGAGGAGGCTGAGCGGCAGCGCCTGGAGCGGGAGAAGCACTTCCAGCGTGAGGAGCAGGAGCGGCTGGAGAGGAAGAAGGTGAGGGTGGGGGGCATCTCCAGGCAGGGAGCACGGCAGGTTTTTCCCTGGAAGAGATCCTGCCTGGCACCAGGGTGGGTCCGGGTGGTCAGGGCCGTGTGTGAGTCCCTGTGTGACTGCAGCGCCTGGAGGAGATCATGAAGAGGACGCGCAAGTCGGACGCAGCAGACACCAAGGTGGGAGCCTGTCCTCTGTCCTGGGGCACTGGGGACTTGGGCACTGGACAGAGCCCTCCTGCCCCCGCCTGCAGACCCTCACAGCTCTCCTGTCCCTGCAGAAGAAGGACGACAAGAAGGTGGTGAACGGGAAAGCAGCCGAGCGGGAGGATGTGCCAGGTGTGTGGGCACCCCGGGCTGCTTCCCCCAGCCACGCTCTGGCCCGGGCCGTGGCTGAGCCAGGTTCTGCCGTGTCCTCAGGCCGCGAGAAGCACCTGGGGCCAATCCCCAAGGCAGAGGAGCTCCCGGAGACGGAGACCCCAAGCGCAGGGACGCCGGGGGGAACGAAGGGCTTGGTGGGCGAGGGGCTGCAGCCGAGGTGAGCGCGGGGACAGCGGGGGGAGCCGGGGGGCGGCGGGGCCGGGGCTGAGCCCAGCCCTCCCCTCCCGCAGCGCCAAGGAGGCGGCAGCCCTGGTGAACGGCGTGCAGCCCGGCAAGCACGAGAACGGCTTCTCGGGCACCGAGGGCTCCAAGGAGCTGCGGGACCTGTCCCACCACGGCGGCGGCCCCGGCAGCATCATCCCCTTCGGCGACAAGGAGCCCTTCCTCAAGCAGGCCGTGGTGAAGCCGCCGCAGGTGACAGGTGAGCAGGGCAGGGCTGTGGGGGCACAGCGCTGTGTGCACCCCGGGCTCACACCGTTCTCTCCACCCGCAGAGGTGCTCTGAGGGCTTGGCTGACGTTCCCAGGGGCCGCTGCCCTCGCAGACCCGTAGCTGTCGTCAGAACACGACCCTCGCTGCTCCTCCCGGGCGCCCGGGGGCTGCAGGGCCCCGGGGAGGACGCCTGGCTCCTCTCTCTGTTCTCGTTTTTATTTCGTTTTGTTGGGTTTTTTTTTTTTATTTTATTTTAAATATGCACCTTATCAGACTGACAGCCCACCCTCGCAGCCCGCCGGAGCCGCCCCAGACGTGTGGTGTAACGATGTAGTTATTTAACTCGCTGGGTACAACGTCTGTGAATACTGTAAATAGAGCCGGCCGGGCGTGGGGACGCTCTTGGGGGGCTCGGGGGGGGCCGGGTCACAGCTCCCACTCCCCCCGTTCCCCCGCATGTCCGTGTGTCCCCGGGCCCGGCCGGCACCACGCTGCTCTGTGCCCTTGTGACAGTGTTATGCATCCAGACAACCTTTGACAACAATTAAAAGTGGACAATGCCCTCGGCGTGCCTCTCTGTGTCCGGGGAGGGGACTGGACGGGTCCGGGTCCGTGTCCGTGTGTGTCCGTGCCTCGGGGCTGGGCTGGGCTGGGCAGGGCAGGGCACTCTCTGGGTCTACGGAGGTTCGCCCCCGTGCCCGCTCCATCAGCTCCGTCCCGGCCATGTGGGGA